GTAGTACCAGATCCCTCCTGACTCAGACGATCTGACTCATTCCGTGCCGTGCTTGTGACTTCACACGTTTTCTCTCATGACAATCCTTTTATCTTCCCCCATGTAAATCCAAGTCACTTTGTCACAATGGGCACATTCAGTATGACAAGATTTTCTGTATCAGAGTTGTTTGTCAGCTCTTTTTGCTGCTCCCCTACATGTCAAGCCTTAACCACATCCCTACCTGACACCCACTGCCTCTTCAAAGCACGAGCACACACACACACAAACAACACATGAAAGGCTTACTAAAAATGAAAGACATAATTCCCAGTAACTTCTGGTATCAATACTGGGAAAGCAATCCATTGCTGAAAGATATGTCAGTAGGGACCACCTGAATAGGTAAGAGAGGAGTGTGACTTTTAGCACTGGACTGTCCTCACTCTTCACCTGCTACCTCTGGCCCTGTTTTCAGCTGTCCCAAGAGCTTCTCAAAGATGAAGCCTGTACATGGCTCCCACTAAAAACTGATGGGAAGGGGATGGAGAAGATTGTACAGAATTGTGATCTAAATTAATCTCAGCCTTTTAACAAGCTTGGTATTAAATCTTAATACACACTTTCCCACTGTAGACAGCACAAAAAATTAAGCTACTCCATTTCATATATCTTACCTTGTGCTATGGTTTTGAACAAATCCCTTGCTGAAGGTTCCTCTTTCCATTATTGACTAAAGTAGGAGCCTGAAAAATCTGTGAAGACTCGTTTGCTGTTTTTAATTACTAAAGTTAGTCAAAATGGGTTCCACTCTTGAAGTGGTCTGTGGTCTGTACTGTCTGTGTAGGTTGCCAGCTGCTCCAGGCAAAGAGGTGCCCTTCTTGGTAATTGTATTTTAGTCAGGAAATCCACTTCTTATGTGTGTTGATTGATATCCTGGGGATTTCAGATATCATGCACAGCCATGGAAAAGCTGTCTATGAAGAGCTTAGATAATTGTAAAATGATTTACAGTCAGGCATGGAAAGGCTTCTGCAGATCCAGCTATTGTTATAGTGCAGCTCCCTCCTCCAGCCTGGAGGAAGAGAAAATGCACAAAATATGTCTTTGCGTTTGATGACATGTTCAACGTTATACTTAGGAAAATAAGGATTCACATTTCAGCTACTGCAGTGAACATTTCAAACAAGCCTTTCAAAGAAGAAAAAAAAACTGTCCAATCCATTATCTGTAATTATAGCTCAGGAATTTATAAGGGGAGTAGGACTATATTTTTCTGGTAGTTTTGTTGACATCTTCAGTGTAGTATAGCTTAACAATTCTGCTTACCAGCTCTTATTTGCATACACTTCTTTGCATCCCTATGGGACAGAAATAAGTGGTACTGTCAAGATCTCCAAGGATTAAAATGGGGAGTTGGAACCTGCAATTCAGAATGTTGTGTGGCCCCATGAGCAGCTCCGAGAGGAGCAGGGAATGCAAGCTCAGACAGGCTGGAGAGCAGTTCCCTCACATAGAATCTCTAAAGGCTTTTGCACCTACCTTTAGTATCTTCAAACTGCAGAAGGGTAGAAACCACTGAAACAACAGAATCTGCAAATAGAAGTTAGGCATTAGGAAAAGGCCATGTTGCACCTCCTGAAGATAAAAAACAGTGGACCTGCTTGCCAAGTATTCTGGCAAACCCAATACTTCTGCAAGCCCTTCCAGTGAAGGAAGATGTCTTTCTAAGGGTGTATGTACATTAAGCAGTGAAGCACTTTCTTGTAAACCCTAAGCAACATCCCATGCAGGTCTGCTGAGAGATGTCAACTCAAGTCCTGGATTCCAAGTGGACACGTCAATGCAGGATTGCAAACAGAATTAATTAGTGTGGCACATCATGGCATTAGCACAGTTGTATTACTTCCAGTTCCACAATTAGAGCATATGAAGTTGTATGATAAATCTCTTTGTCTTGTCACTTAGAAATAAATATAAAAAAAATAGCTTGTTTTGCATGAATAAAATTCTCCATTCTTAGATAAACAAGTATGCAGAGTAGTCCATCATATTGGCTCATAGTTTTTCAAAGTACACCCCTCTGGAAGCATGACCAGTGGAGCATTTATCCATTTGTTATACTCTGGATAACCTCTGACTCTTTTGAGGAATGGGTCCAATTTTCCCTAAAATATAAAATTATTCACCATGTACTGGCCTAACATAAAGTAGTTAATGGGTGCCCTTACAAAGGCTTTGGCAAACATGAAGGCACTTGGATTCAGCCCTTCTTAAATATGCACTTTACTGTCCTTAATGGAACACACAGATGTGCTGTAGCACATTGCATTGGCAAAGGGAAAGATTCTGTGATGTAAACATGGTACAAGGGATACCACCAGTGTGAGAACACAGCCAGTGCCTGACTCTGACTCTTGCATAGTGCCAAAAAAACTTGTCTGGGTTAACGTTGCCAATATTATACTACATTAATAGCAATATTACATTACATTCATAACATTACTATTACATAAAACTGCACAATTCTAAGGCCAGCATGCAGCACATCTTCCTTCAAGTGTATAAAAGCAAGCACCAATGAAGTTTGATTTATAATGAAAAATATCAAATACTTTAATATTACTTTCATAAGGAAAATCTGTTTTTATTTTCTGTCTTGGTTGTGAAAATAAAATATTTCCATTTATACAGAGCCAGAGCTACTTTTTGGTTGGATACATTCTTCTATCCTTATTGAGACAGATATGATATAGAACACAAATAAAGCTTCCTGAAATGAACTGAAATATATTTTCCGGTCTCCTTGTCCTCTCCATCTGCCACATAATCGTGGTCATAGCAACATCATTCCATGGATGATGTGTTTTTCTTCTGCTTCTATTCTAACAGGTTGTCAGAATCCCAGACAATCAAGCCCAGAAGGATCAGAAAGGATTGAGAAGGGAGAACAAATGGAAGTAGACACAGGTAGGTCTGGCACATCCACACTTGCAGGTGACCTGTTGTGTTTCTACAGCCCATTGCTTTCCTCTCATAGAGACTGTGGTGGGCATGGCTGCCCTTCTGGCCTTTTGGCAAAGAACTGAATCCTTTTTGGTTTTCTTTCCTGTAAGACTGGGTCCAAGCTGAACAGACCTCAAGTTTCCATTTCAGTTTCTTTACAGAAGTTAATGTGCAAGAAGTGAAGCTAATTTGGTAGCTACTTCAGAAGCGTTTACGCATCTCAGTTTAAGAATGATGGAATTTCCTGATGGAGGGGAAAGGAAAAATGGAAAGAAATTAAATATTTAGAAATTATAGGGGAAAACAAACAAACAAAACCCAGTAAAACTGAAAGTTAAGCAGAGGGACAGAAAACATTTAGTCCTGCACAAATACTCAAATACTTTTCTCCTGCTGTGCTCTGAAAGAATCAATCTGAGTGTCAGCCAGGCACCCTACTATTGATTCTTCTGCTCCTACCTCTCACATCAACAGTAGATTGAGATTAAATTCAACACTGTTAAAATGCAGGGAATAGCTATAAAATGAACCCTTAATGAAGGGGGCAATAGGTCAAAAGAGCACGTTTGTTACTCACTAATCCAGTAAAACCTTTCAATCTGCTGAGCAAAATACCTCTGTGCAACGCTAAAATAAATTAGTAGGGTCTTTCTGGTGGAGACAGTTCACGTGTGAGATAATCTCAGGAGGTCTGAAAGTCATCACAAGAGACATGCTTCTGCCTTTTAGTGTAGTTGTTGTGGTACCTTCCATGCCTTTCACATTTTAAATGATTACATAGTAGTCCTCAGGCTCCCCACACTGAATATGCCTCGATGGGACCAGCCCTTGGTTCTTCACATACTGCTGCTGCTTTTGGAGGCAGTCTGTGATTATTGAAACAATCTTTTCTTTTTCTTGAGAGGTTAAGCTAAAGGGTCAGACAGAGAAAAGAAATACATATAATACTCAAGAAAAGATTCAAGGAGCAGCTTGCTAAAGGATGTCAGGGATGTAAAAAGTTTATGTGGATTCAAGGAGGGGATTGGGCAGTGAGTGCTAGTCAAAGGTTCTGGGCAGACAAATCACACACCAACCTGCCAAAAAAAATGTAAACTAGCCCTCATCTTTTTCACCTCTTCAAACAGCTGAACTTTTCTGAATCTCAGAAAATTATATCCACAGACTTGGAAGCTTTTTTGTTTTAGAGAAATTCAGTAAGGAATCAAGCATTCATAAGGAGTTAAATGATATATTTTGACACAGCCACAGTCCTTGCAGGATATACTTTTTTTTGGTCTCAGAAAGTGTTTTTGCAGAATACATGTCATTGATGAATGTTCATAAATGTTCACGGCCCAGAGGCAATAAATATGGAATAATACAGTGTACAAAAATATTCCCCAAACAAGGCTATCTAAGAATATGGGATCAGATTCCAGCATACCAGGAAAGTGAGAAAATATTTTGATGTCAGTAAGAATTGCAATTAAAGTCCTTTGTCAGATTTCAGGAGAAAAAATAATCACAGTGTTTTTAAAAAAGGCTGAAGCATTATAGTAACCTAATTCCACATGAATGGCTACAAAAACCAGTTTGGCTTTCTGCTGATCAAACTCTGTTTCCAAGTACTTGCTGCCACAGACAACACAAAATAAAAATCAGCAGAGATTTGAAAAATAAAATCATGCCAGAGTTTTTTTTTGTTTTGTTTTGCTTGTGGCTCACAACTGGATGTAGCATTGTTATAATTTTGTAAAAGCTTTTTAGATTGAGTTTTTCTGGTCTGGTTTTCCCACCCTCTGACAAATACTAACAACCTTCAGCTGGTATTACATCCTATATTTCACACTCCCAGCTCTCTAAATCCCACATTTCTGATTCTGTAAATGCATCAGCTACGGGAGCCGATGCAAGTGGCTGGAACCTCTGTTCATACTCTATAATCTAATGCACTTAGCGAGCCAATGAATATGTGTGAAAGGAGGGGCTTTCTGGCTGAGGGGCTCCGTGCAGGGGAACAGCTGTTGAACAGCAAAACCTTACCCAGAGCCAGGCAAACACACTCACTCACATCCTCAGTGGCTTTGTGCATCCAGGTCTGCCAAGACAACTCCACCCACCCCTCCTCTCTCTGCAAAAAGTGAACAAACTAGCACAGGGAAACGTAAAGAAGACCAAATCTCAGCTGTGAAACATTTCAGCAGATCAGTAATGGCCTGGATCAGTAATATCTCCTGGTTAAACCACCTTGCTCTACAGGAAGAACGTTTCAGGGGGTACTTAAACAGCACTGAGGATTACTTAGCCTTCCTATGTGGGCCCAGACGGAGCCACCTGTTCCTGCCCATGGCTTTGGTGTACACCCTGATCTTCATTGTTGGGGTGGTGGGGAACTTCTTAGTTTGCCTCGTAATCCTCAAGCACCAGAACATGAAGACCCCGACCAATTATTACCTCTTCAGTCTGGCGGTCTCGGACCTGCTCGTGCTGCTTTTCGGGATGCCACTGGAAGTCTACGAGATGTGGAGCAACTACCCCTTCCTGTTCGGGCCCGTCGGCTGCTACCTGAAGACGGCTCTCTTCGAGACGGTGTGCTTTGCCTCCATCCTCAGCGTGACCACGCTCAGCGTGGAGAGGTACATCGCCATCCTCCACCCCTTCCGTGCCAAGCTGAAGAGCACCCGCAGGCGAGCCCTGAGGACCATCCTGGCGCTCTGGGTCCTCTCTGTCCTCTTTGCCCTCCCCAACACGGGCACCCATGGCATCATGCTGCAGCATTTCCCCAACGGCACCCTGGTCCCGGGCTCTGCTACCTGCACTGTGGTCATGCCCTTGTGGATCTACAACTGTATTGTCCAGATTACTTCTCTTCTCTTCTATGCGCTGCCCATGGGGGTAATAAGTGTGCTGTACTATCTGATGGGGCTAAGAGTAAGTCTTACTCCAGCTGTGCTGTGTTTCCTTGGTTCATTCTTGTGTGTTTGTGTCTGTATGTGTCTTTTGAGTGCTTGCACCTTTTTCTTGCCCAGCTGTTTTCCCCCAAAAAGGCAGAAGTATTTCAAACCTCTGGAAAAAAAAGAAAAAAAAAGTAGATCCAAATCCTTCTTTGGTGCAATCCTATTCTGAAATTAATTTAGGGGATAATCTACCCTAGTCTTTTTATAAAAACTTACCATCACTGCTGCTCACATCCGAATGTCACTGAAACACCAGTGGATTGGTTCCAGCCTCTCAGAGATTTACACCTTTGCAGCAGGGACTAGAAGGAAATGTAGCAAAAGTAAAATGTGAAAAGAACAAAAACAAGCAGGCTAGTGATCGAATCTTTTGTCTTATTTGTTTTCCCTTTTCTTGTGACTGTGAAATTTCTACTGCATTAGTTTCTTTTTCTCCTTGGTGATAATATTCACGAAAACTCACAAAGCTCTCATAAACTGAAATGCTACCTTATTGCTGCTGTTAGCAAATTCAGCAATCATTTCCTTATATAACTGCAGCACAGTTTCACCAGACTATCTTAGAGTTTATTTTCATTCTCTCTTCAGAAAGTGAGTCTAGTTTTACCAAGTACCCATCATGTAAATGTGTGGATAAAACAATCAGTATCACAGCATTATAAAGCTGTGTAGCACAACGCCGGAATACACTGCTAATCGTAGCGAGTTGATGACTTTTTTTTTTCTCACACATTACAGATATTTTGAAAATATAAATACCATCTCATCACACTGGGTATAACTTAAAGTTTACAAAGATACGTCTGATCATATAGCAAGAAAGGGAGAGGAATGAACTTATTAAATAATGTGCATGAAACTCAACCAAATCTCTGCTGGTGTACATATAATTTTGTTTTGCTGGCTGACATTTACTGTTAACTGAAATTATACAGAAGCAACTTTTACTCTACCCAGGAAAAAAAAACAAGGATTAACTGCCAGAAATCTGTAGCACACAACAGATCCTCACAGCAGGGAATGAGTTAAATTGTCCACACTGCCCAGTGGCTGTTGTGAGGTCTTAATATGGTTTTGATGAAAATTTTGCAAAACAAGACCTGAAGGGAGGGGAAAATTTTGTAAATATGGATATTATGAAAAGAAAAAAAGAAATATCTGAATTGATAAAAAGAAGACTTGAAGACTGCAATAACTTCTATTTGCAGCATCAGACGTTCCTATACCCCATCCCAGAAGAGAAGCTCGGTACCGAATGAAGGCTGCTCCCCCAGGACTTCTGTAAATTCACAGATATGTCCAAGCTGTCCCTCCTAAATGCACTAATGTTCATTGTTTGTGGGGGGTTTTTTCTGTATATCCAGCTCAGACTTTCAAATTTTAAACAGCATCCATCCTGACTAGATCTGCATTATGCTCCAAACTGCACTAGGCAAGATAATTTCATTTCCTCAACAGAAATGACAGAAGAATGATGTATATATATTGTTTTTCAAGATGAGACACTTTTTATCTGCTCACGAAGGATGAAACCTATGAAGCTTTAGCAACACTCTGTAGTCTCCTGAGTGCCATGTATCCCTCACAGAATGTAGAGGAAAAGCTCAGTGTTATTCCAAAGGTTGTACAACAGCTCAAATTCAGCAGTGACATAGCCCTTCCACATCCAGGCTTTGTAGAAAGGGCATTTCCTTGCCACAGTTTCTCCCTCAAGCTTTGCCAGTGCTCAGGATGCTCAGGAGAGTCTCAGGATGCAACAGAGAAAAAAATGTGGGACATGTCACATGTCATGAGAGGGCAGCAAACATGGGTCATAGGGTACCTGAGTTAATTTTAAATTTTATTCCTGCAGTGCTGGTAGAGATGGGGTGGGACTGTTCGGGAAGAAGTCTGTGTTGCAGCAGGAGTCAGTGCAAGGTCCCTGTCCATTTCTTTCAAACTGATCTCTAAAAGAACACAGGGGTAGGTGCTTATCACTGCTTGTCTAAAAGTCAAACTTTATTTAACAAGGATTTTTGACAGTGAATGAAGAGAGTGGAGAGTCCACAGACACATTCTCCTACCTGCTTCAGACATCTGTGAGGGGATCTAGACAGTCAGGTGACTTTTGCCTAGACAGGATGATTCTTCTGCCAAGGTTCAACACTTCTCTTACTCTGTCATCCCCTTGATAATATATTGGACACACTGGAAATTTTTATTTCAGCTGTCTTTGAAGCAAGACAACTTATTCTTGCCAATGCATATCTGGTCCAGATTTAATCATCAAAATCTATTTTGCCCCCCAGATGCCCAGTTGTTAAAACCAAAATCATCTGTGGGCAGTGACTGGCTTTGTTGAATTTCTGCAGAGCCCAGCACATCTCTGGAAGGGTCCATCCCCTTTCCATGGAAGTTTTCAGCAAACCTTGCCCCCACTGACACGTTCTCCTTTGCCATGGGGTTGAGCTAAAAGCACACTAAGGCTGCAGTGGAGCAGCAGATGGCAACAACTTCAGCCAAATCCTCAGAACAGTCATGACTGTAGGCTTTGGCATAAGCCTTGTAGTTTTTAAGTATTAATTTTTCCATCAGCTGGAGAGAAAGTTTGTTCACCAATAGTGTCAGATAGGCCAAGGAGTTTACAGAAAACATTTCTGCTTTTGTAGAGTGGCCTCATTAGGTTTGCCTGGGGATATGTGAGGCCCTAATTTTACTCTACCTTCTGATTTCTGGTATGAAATCCTGTAGCTAATAAAGATGTGGGGGGGGGGAAATCCAATTTTCAGCTTCTTGCTCCAGTCACTTTTAATTCTTTTTCAGTGAAAGGGTAGTTTGCATCTCCAGGCAACCCTACACAGCCTCATACATCACAGTGATGTAAAAGTAACCACTACCTTGGCTGGAGTTCCCTCAAACCATTGGCATTCGCTCAAGTTACAACCTTTGCCATGGACTCATTTATTTATTTATTTTTCCTCCTTCTTTGTAATAATTCATTGTTTTATTAAACTCCAACTGCTGAGTTATTCTTGCTAGTTACACCTTCATCCCTTGAGACTAAAGGGGAACCTCCCAGCATCATCAAAATGACAGGAGGAAGGTGAAAAATAAAGATACATATGTCTCTGGTTTATTACAGCATCAGAACACTGTATTCTCTGAGGCTTTGGACTATGCCTGGAATAGATTACTGTTGAGACTGAAAACCACTGAAGGTAAACTAGGGGGTTTAATCAATCTGAGCAGACGTTTATCTCTACATGTGTTACAAATCAACTGAGGCTCTTCCTTAAGCAACTGTGGCTATGACTAAAAGTTACAAAGGCAATAATGTAAAACATGAGAGGTTGAATTGCACTATAATTGATTATAATCCCATTTACATAGTTTTCCATTTTATAAATGGAATAAAGAGAACATTGAAAAAAGGTCTTACGTGATCATCCTGAGAGAAAAGTATTATTAATCAGAAATCAGAAAGCAAAGTCACAGTGTAAAAGGCAAAAGCAAATGGCACAATTAGCATGTTTTCACAAGACTTTTACAAATACAGAATGATTTCTATCTTTTTCCTCATTCCTTATATTCTCTCCCATGTAATTAAAAGTTTTTCTTCCAGTTTCTCTCAGTTAAAAAAAGCATCACTCCAAAGCTGTGGGCTAATCAGAAGTTCCCACTTCAGGAAGCTGGGACCAAATATGCACTTTTCATACATGATCTCTTCTGTACTCAAAGCAATCCTGTTTATCTAGACCCGGTATTTTCATCACCAAAGCACCAGTGCTCTCACCATAAGCATATTGGGGAAGTAGTTCAGGGAGGATCAGATTATTGCTCTTTATGTCCATTTTTAAGAAGTCCAGGAAAAACTACTGGAGAAAACCTCACACTGCTGTAACTGAGCAGTATGTGGCTGAATCTGTGTATCATGCACCCCGGAGGTGCAGGGAGCATATTTGGGTTTTGTTCATTAGATGGGTTGAATATCAATTAGTCCAAACCACTCAGGGCACGAAACAAATTCCTTCAAATTTTACAGAGTTTTTTCCAATGATTATAACTGTGTTACACTGAGGCCACTCTGTGTATTTTTTCGATCATTGGTTTGTGCTTAATTGTGGGGAACCCTATTAGGAAAATAAACAAACAATATCTTGCCAGAAGACAAAATAATGCCAAGCAAAATAGTGTTGAAATTGAACACAAACTGTGAACCAAATATTGACTCACTGAGGAAAAACAAGTGGGGAAGTGAAATAGGAACTTGCTGTAAATATGCAGGTTCAGATGCATAAAATCTGCAGATTGTTTAGAACCTAAAGGTTCAGTGTTTCTCTGGAGAAAAAAACCGAAATATAGACTTTTTTCAGTGAGTCCCAAGTTGCCCCCAGTTTTGCTTTCTCAAACTGCAATTATCAAAATATCAAGCAGGCTATGTCTGGTGGGGATGTGATCTCTTGTCTAAGCTCTCCTTTGGTTTCCCTCCTTTTGCCAGTTGAAAGGAGATGAAACTTTGGAAGTAGAGGAAATGGCTGTGAATGTTCAGAGACCATCCAGGAAATCAGTCACAAAGATGTTGTGTAAGTAGTAAGTCCTTCTGTGTTTTATTTACAGTGGACATGAGGGTGACCAGGTCCTAAAGGGAATCAAGCAAATTCACTGGATACAAGAGTTATGAGTAGTTGTTATTTTAAAAAAAAAAAAAAAAAAGGCTTATTGCTGTTTTATCTGGATTTATAGGGCATGGAAGTGAAACACCATGGGTATCTACCAAAAGATTCAGAAAGAAAATTTTCCTCCCCAGCATGAGAGGAGTTTGAGCAAACCTACGTGGCAGATGCTTGCATGGCAATTCTCCAATATCCCTCACTCCAAACTGGCTCTTGCAGCCCTCTAGGGAGGATCTCTTTTTTTTTCCAGAGTGCAAGTAGTCTATCTTGTACATTTATAAAGGATGTACATCTGTTTTACATTACACCATGAGCTCTGCTAATGAGCAGAAATCACAGAATCACAAGATGGGTCAGGTTGGAAAGGACCACAGTGGGTCATCTGGTCCAATCTCCCTGTTCAAACCAGGTCATCCCAGAGTACACGGCATAGAATTGTGTCCAGACAGTTCTGGAATGTCTCCAGTGAGGGAGACTCCACAGCCTCCCTGGGCAACCTGTTCCAGTGCTCAGTCACCTGTACAGTGCAGAAGTTCCTCCTCATGTTCAGGTGGAACTTCCTGTGCATTAGTTTCTGCCATTGTCTCTTGTCTTATTGCTCAGCACCACCAAGAAGAGCCTGGTCCATCCTCTTGACACCCTCCCCTTCTGATACCCATACACATTAATGAGGTCCCCTCTCAGTTGTCACATCTTGAGACAATCCTGCCAAGCTACATCCATCACCTACTGCTGACTTAATCACTTAGACCTTCAAAGAAAAGTTGGACCTAAGCAGACTTGCACACTGTATAACATTCAAGAGAATTTATGCCCCAATCACCTTGAAAGCACTCACATCACTTCCTCATTTAGGGCTGTCTTTAAGGCAAAGAACACCTTGCTACTGAGATGGTGTTTATGCGGGAAACATAAATCATTTTCACTATTTTCTGTAACATTATTCTTTCAGACACCTTAAGTCACTGTCTGAACCAGGAAATTGTAATTTGAAGCCAGCCTGATTTTCAGTGCCTGGAATGGGTCTAGGTTCCATACGTGCCCCAACATTACCTGGCTGTTTCCTGCTCTGTTTGAATGTCACTGTGTGTGCATGCACTGGGTTATCCAACACAGAAACTAGCAGAAAGATTGTTCTTTTAGCTGGTAATGGTAAGACAAAAAGTATGGCAAAACTTTTGAAACCATTAACATAATTTGTATATTTAGTCTTTCATTCAGCTTTTTGAACTCTCTCTGCTCTGTGCAGGCTAGTGAACCATATCCCCCCATTACTGACCTGTTTTTCTTCTCCCCTTTCTCCATGCCAGTTGTCCTCGTGATAGTTTTTGCTATCTGCTGGGCTCCATTCCATATAGATCGACTTTTCTTCAGCTTTGTTGTGGAATGGACTGAGCCTTTGGCTAACACATTCAACTTAATTCATGTGGTGTCAGGTAAAGCTTTCTTCTTCCACTTGCACAGGGACTGGGAAAAAAAAAAGTATTTGTGAATGGTTTACTTGGAATATGTCTTCATTTACTTTGTAGGTGACATGAGACATGCATGGAAAACCTTCTCAGGATTTGGTGGGCAGTGATGAGAATAGTGTCTGAATAAAAACTACATGCAATTTTCTGCAGCTTCCAAGATCTGGACGTCTTGTCCAATACAGTGTCTGAATATTCACAGAGAAGGAAAAAAAAGTATACCATGCATCATTACCTGCTTTTCCTTCTTGGGAATGTTCAGAAGTGAAGCCTGCTGTTGTTCAGCTGCTTTTAACAAGTACGCAGGAACAAGCATCATCCTCCACAGGGTCTCTGGGGCAACTGGGAAACCTTACCAAATGGCAAGACAAAAGACTTACCTACTGCTCAGAATGGGTGATGAAACCAAATGTTTATGGCCTTGTCAACCATAAAATGAAGGCTTTTTCCAAAAGGAATCATATTCTCAGTCTGCCATGGGAAAACACTGAATGTGGCCATTAGGCAACTCAGACAAATCTGATCTTGTGCAGTTGTCCTGGTGTGTTGTAAGAAATTAGCTTCCCTTGGCTGGAAGTTGTCCTCTGACAGCTCTGATGGGGACACCAGCTGTGCAAACCCTGCTGTGGGGATGAGGGCAGTGCTGGAGGCAGGGCAGGGCAGCTCAAGAGAGAGCTGGTTCCTGAAGAGCTGGAGAGAGTGAGCTCCAATTAACAATCTCTCCCATTTTCTTTTCACTGCAACTGCAGTGTATGAGCTAATCTCGGTGAGACATCCCTCTGCCTGTGCCAGGAAGGCAGCAGGCAGAGCTCTGCTGTTGCTGTCTCCACCCTTGCACCAAAACTTGGTGGAGCTGTATAAGCAATGAAGAGTTTTTCCTCTTCTGAGATCGTTTCACACATAAATTAATCTCTCTCTGTCCCAGGTGTTTTCTTCTATCTGAGCTCTGCCACGAACCCCATCATTTACAACCTGTTGTCCCAGCGCTTCAGGATGGCTTTCCTCAGTGTGATTTCTCCTTGCTGCAAGCACTGGGCCCCTGAACATCCCACTTGCAAGATTTCTGCCCAGAAGAGCATGTTTGTGATTGAGGGTCACAATCTCATGGACTCTGCTGAATACATGAGTGCCCCTGGCACACACAGGACATCTGTCAGCAGTTCTCAGCTCTCCACTGGTCTGTGACTTTCCATGTGATGATCCAGGTGAGAGAGAAGTTAAAGAAAATTGCTTTAAGAAAACAAAAAGAGAAGAGACCTTCCTAAAAGACTGATTTCAGCAAGAAAAGATTGGAGAGGTGTCTCACTGAGTAAATTAAGGAGAAGATTGTATTTAACATATGTCTGAGAAGCACTATATTACACTTGAGCTAATAGTAGGGATGGGAATCTCAGCTTGCTCATTGTAAGCTGTGCCAGTGAAGAGCTGCTTTTAAAAAGTGAGACACACTCCCAATGTTACCAGCACAGGAGAGAGACACAGCTTAGCCAAGTTTTATCAAATGGCCTTTTGTGCACCAACCTAAACATCAGCGTTTACTTACTTTGAAATGAGGCAACTTGCTGCATAAGCCTTATCTATATCTAGGTTTGGGTAAGCCAGTCCCGCTTCTCTCTCTCATGACCTTCTCCAGGTATGGCTGTTGCAAACCTCTCTTGTCAACATGAGCAAGCAGGCAAGAATGAGAGCAGCTCTGAGCTGGGCTGATAGGCATCAGAAACCAGTAATAGCTATTTCTGGGCCAGAAGAATCAGGGAGCAAGTAACTGTAAAATAAATGCAAAACAAAACCTTTGCTTTCTGAGCAAGGTAAAGATCTGGGTGGGGGGTAGTGATTAATGCAGCCTGTGGGGGATATCTGCCCAGGGAATGTACATCAGATAGTTTTATTTTTGCCCATCCACCTTTGCATGTACAAATGGGTAGGTCCCTGCTATACCCCATCTCCTGCAGTTTGTGAGAACTTCTTATCATTGCTTCAGCTTCAGATACTTATGTGTTGTCTCCACCAGTGGAGCCTTGTGGTTGTGCTTCAGCAGATTTCACACCTGCCTGTACCAGGTGGATTGCAAAGTCAGAGATCTACATGGATCCAGGAAAAAGCCTGGACAACATTGACAACACAGGGAACTGGGGCAAACCTAATACAAAGGTAATAAAAACGGGAATTTTGCAGTGATACTGCAACTACTGAATTCAGATTTTGCCATAAAGCACAACATAGGTCCAAACTTTCCTGCATCCCAGTTGTGCAAACAGATCCTGAAGGCAGTACACTTACATCTGAGCTGATGAGCTGATGAGGTCTGCTGACTGCAGGGACAGGATGCTACAGAATTGTGTCAAGGGAGGTCAGGGGGAATCCATTACATGACAAAGAATTCTGTAAGACTCTCTGTCCCAAGTTTCAAAGCCTGTTCATTGTGTTTCAGAGAAATGTCTCCCCTGTGCCCCCTGACACAGGGCTTGGTTTAGCCACTGCTCTGGGCTCAGGCTTGGCACGCACTGCCACAGAAAACCATCCCATGTGTGCTGTCAAGGGACTGGGAGTTACTCTCATAGTCAGAGTACACAGAGTTATCACAACGAATAGGAACATTAGTTCCTGAAAGATGATACACTGTATGCATGAAGGCTTATTCCAGGTCACTGGGGATCCAGATGACACTTCCCATCGCAGGTGGAAGGGGCTGTACTCCTTTTCCGTGGCTTCTTACTTTGTTTCCCCCAAAGTCTTCTGTTTGTCTCTCTCTGTGGGACTCTGAAGTGAGGTGAGACCTGGGAGGCTCATGGAAGATGGTGAGTCATCTTTTCCTGCAGCACAAGGGGAATTTTAGACCACGTTTTCTCTCAGATCCATTTTACCATCTGCAGTCTTGTCGAACAAGCCATGGAGAGGGTAAGAGCTACACGACAGGCCTGCAGAGAGAAGGCAATTCCTGCTCCCTGAAGACACAGCTGAAATGCTTTGCCACCCCCAAGTGGACACTTGCGTTTTATCATTAACATTTCCGTTTCCAACCAGTTTTGCATTATAATTTTTCCCTCTGCCAGATGTAAAAGTGTGATTTCCCTCTGGACTTGCTGTGCCAGTGGTGCCTTGCTGCCTGTGAGCTGCCCAGGTCCCTGTTCTCCTGCTGGGCTCTGAGCTCTGTGCTCCCACTGACAGGCTGAGGGCCACCTGGGCAGAGCCTGGGCTGGATTTCCTTCCTCACTGAGCTCAGGAGGTTATCCTCCTTATCCCAGCTGTGTGCCACTGAAAGCAGGTCTTCTCTGATGTCCTAGACACCCACCTATGAGGAGATGGTGTAGTTTGACATACTCACACATCCACCATATGATGGAGACGTTCCTCTACAGGATTTTGTGGCTCTTTGGATGCATTTTATGCATTTAGGACCAGATGGCATTTTGTGTTGGTGCACAGAGAGCCACCCATGAGTGATGCCGCTCTCTCCTCTCTTTATGGGAGAATCCCAACCTTTGGCTGCAAAGCTCAGGGTGGATAAATGCACCTCATGACTTGCAGATGAGCACACAGATCTGCAGACAAGGTTGGGCTGTGAAGCTGTAGGGTGAAGATTTTGTGTGGTCTTAGACAAAACAGCCACATTTTTGTTCCCAAGGAGGACATAGGGTTTTGTGAGTAAGGGGAAGGAGGGAGTGGGAGGAATGTGCATGGATGGGGAAATTTTAGAAGAGAAATAGTGAGAAGACAATCATCAGGAACTCACCTGGGTCTGAAGTAATATATTCTTTTGTCCTAAAAGGAGTTTTTATCACATTTCATTTGGTGTCAGTCAAAAGAAGTGACACTCATAACCAGAAATTACTGGGCTTTTTTTTGGCTAAATATCAAAACCAGAGATGAAAACATTTAGGTTTGCACCAAATCAAACCTTCTGTGAAAGTGTTATTGGGAGAGACATGTCAAAATTCCTCTAAATTCTGCTAAAAACAAAATAAATGCAGTGGAGATAGTGTGGACTGACTGGAAGCTCCAAGTTAAGTTCCCTGTGACTGCACAGCTCAGTACACCTCATTCCTGAGGGATGCACTTTGTCTCTACAAAGTAGTCAATGTCCAATAGAGGCTTTTCTTTCTAAAAGGTTGGTGTTTGAGTTATTTATCACTCTGCTCTGATATTTACTTGGCTGCATTTTGGAAGCTGAATCCAAACACAAAAAAATGGGAAGATGGATAGAGATGTCATGAAAACCGATGCTATTCCTTTATTTATACATTAACCAGCTTTCATAGCCAAGTGCTGAAAAATGTTGGCAACTGGTTGAGAAAAAATCGTGTTGCAAGAAAACAGAGAACAACTCACTTTCCTCCAAAGTGGTCCAGTGTGATGGAACTGTATTTATTTGAAATCAAGCGTGTCTTCCTAGACAGAACTGTCTATTGATTTATTTCTCTGCTTCTCTTTCCCTCTGGAAAACATGCAAGTGCGTAAGCAGAAAGTGTGGAGAGCAGGGGCAGTACTGAGAACAAAACATGAATAGTCTGAAATGTACTGCAAGGAAACACTCAAAGGAGAGAAGAATTGTGTTCATTACCAGGGAGTGATACTCTGATCTAATGCCAGATTCAGTTGGAAAAGACACCATGACAGCAGGTGGACAATTCTGCTAAGTTTACCCGAAGAGTTTTTGAACACTACTGTGTTTTGAAATGTTTCAACCACAGCTTACCAGTAAAACTAAATGTGCACTTCAGCTGCAGAGCTGATTATATGTATCTGTGTGTAACATGAAAATAAATATACTAGAGTCTCTCTTCCTAGGCCTGGTCCATCCTCCAGCAATCCTCAAGCTTCTTGTTTCTCCCTTAGATTTCATGTGAGTAGCAGAAGGTGGAGATTCCCCAGAGGCAAGAACCTCACCTGGAGAGTCAAGGGTTGCTGATTTTCTTCCACATTTCCTTCCATTTACATTTAGATTAGTCAACAGCCTGCTTAGGTCACACCCCAGACAGAGAGCTGAGCTCATTTGCCACCAGAAGTAGGAGGCTTTCTGTTACTGTGTAGATTTACTGAAACCCTAAAAAATTGCAGCTGATATTTTTAAGGCAAATTATCTTAAATCCATTTAGTTTTTAAAGGATTAATTTTAGGTGTATGGAAGCTGTTAGAATAATTTGCTTTCCAATAGGATAGCTAATTCTTGAATTAAATACTGAGGTGTTTACTGTAAAAGCCCAAATAACTTTTTTCATGCATCCTCAGCTTATACTATGTTATGCAATGCAGCAAGTTCCTCCCCAGACAAACAGGCTTTTGTTTGATTTTTTGGCTAGAAGTGGGTTTTCCAGAAGACCCTTTGACTCAGATGTCTATAAGATGAAGATCACCATCAGAGGAAATCTGTATTCCTCTTCTAGTCAAATGAGGGGGGAAAAAAGCCATGCTAAAATCAATTTATCTGATCTATTTCAGTCATCTACCTTAGGTGTTTTACAGGTAGTTTTTATGCATATCTTTTATGATTGAAAAACACAGCTAGGCAGCCAGATACAGGTCACCTTGAAATGATGTGTGTTGTTTGTTGCAGAGCAGATATGTTTATCAGACCCTTTCAATTTGTTTCATTTCTTCAGACCCCAAGAGTCTCCCTTAGAAATGACTCACTAGGAAAATCATGCTCTAAATGAGCAAAAGAAATGGCTAAGAGCTAATTCACCTCTAAACAGTGTAAGAACAGCATCCTCAGGGCTTCACCTACCATTTTGTTTATTGATCTGGGGTTGGTGCCTCTGGGACACCTGGACCAAGCTCTCACAAGGTGGGGAAATTCCAGCAGAGCTCTAGCACTTGTAGGGATTGCAGCACTGGTTTGCAAGCTTGCAGTTTTCTTTCCCTTACTTCTATAGGAGCTGGCAAGGGTAGGAAAGATATCTGTCCTGCCAGAGAACGTGCTAAACACCTGCCTGAACTCAATGGAAAGTCTCCAAAGAGAAGTTTTTTCATGCTGCTGTTGACTGCAGTGCAGGTGGGTTGGGCAGCACTGAGCAACTGCAGCAAAAAACTACAAGACTCAAGGTTTTGAGAAACAGAAGAACTCACCAGACTTTCTGTGAGGAAGGAAATAAAGCACTAACACAGGAACTCAGAGGTATAGTTACTGTTTATTTAACCATGTACAGACTGGGGTTCATTAGTTGGCTTGGTGGGAAGTCCTAAAT